GCAGTTGCCCTCTAATACATTCCTTATTGCTGAATATTCAACCCTCGAAGTGTCTACGTGGCATTGCACGAATCTGGTGGGGTAACCGTACCAGCAATGCTGAGGTTAGGTGCACCCACTGGAAGAAGTGGTCGACCTTCATGGACTACGTTGGTTCAGGCATGTGTTACGCGCGTCTTATTTGCCTTACTGTGGCTGGCTCCTTGTAAAGGATAAACCGGCCCTGGACACTTGGGAGTTTGATAGAAGAGAAGTTCCCAGCGTTTTTTTATTTTGAGGACGCACCGCTATAGTCTTTACATAATCAAGTGCTAACTGCAAGGCAGCAGGAAGTAAACCCTCGTCGCTCGGAAGTGAGGGGCTCAATGACGTTAGTTTATGAAGTCCAGTCACATTGACCTTTATCACGATACCGTCATTGGGCTCATGCGGCTTTTAAACAGGAGCCAGGTGACCAGCCTGAAACCCATTACACACTGGTAGTCGCCGCTGCTTATTCGTTGCGGTATGCCACAAATCATTCACGGCTAACCTTCTTCGGTGAAGGTATCCCTCTATCCACAACCTGGGGATGCGCCTGGTAGCATTCTGCTACGCTTAACCCGAGGGTATCCAAAGTGGTTACCACAGCGCGCGAAGTTTACCGTGGCAGGGAGTGGACCGAAAAATGCCAGGGATGATCAAAGTAAGACCTCGCACGAGGGTATGAAAATCCTGACCAGGAGACGACAATAAAGGTCGCGTTACTACTTCATCCAAAAGAAAGCAACCGACTTAGGAGCACAAAAGTGCATTGTCAATGATTGTGCAAATTGAAAACCGGGGTGTAAAGAGCGATTCCTTGATTTGAATTAAATCCCATCATAGGAAAGTTCAAAATTTATTAAGGTGTTTGTATTACAAAAAGCTGTCCAATGCTTCCTAGCTTTTCAGTTCACGCTTCCTTTGCCATATACACGACAAATCTCCCCTTTGAAATTGAATGAAATCCCCATTCACTCACATGGAAGTGGTAGATTTGTAAGGTCTCCAACAGGATATGCGTGGTATTGAACCGGACGTCAGCAGAGCAAGGAACCACCTACATCCAGTAGTCATGGTTGCAGCAGCAAAACTCAATTGTAGCTTATGGAGTAGGCCAGGGATGATCAAATAAATACGTCTGTATGATTAACAGCCATATTTGCTTACATTTTGCTACAGAGAGGAGGCAGTCATGTTCGATTGTACGCTTTTTCCCCAATCGCAGAATGCTTTGTGTTGTCGGTCATCAGAATTGGAAACACTAGTGTCTATTAAGTCCGTCCTGGTGACAAATGACAGTATGATAAACTATTAAATCCAAGAAGCATCAACTTAGCAACTGTGAGTGATTGAACAATTGATTCACTTGTTTTATTAAATCATATTGGTGCAAAAAATGACATTACTAACTAGGCGTTGTGACAATCGATAATCACATGGCGAAAAGTAGCGATAAACAAGGCGACAAACAGATGACAGATCAATCGAAAATCTTCAAAAAAACCAATAATCGAGTAGTAGCAAAGAGATGGTATAGGTTTCCGTATTTCAAACAAGGGAATGTGCATATGCAAGAGATAGAGTTCATCAATCTGACGCAAGAAAATCAGTGGTGCTGGTCCACATCTGATTGTCAACAGCTACCGTGACGGACCACGGAAGCGTAGAGGATGAGTGAGAACACGCCTATTCCGCTTTCAAACGATCCCGAAGCATATCCCGTAGGGTGTTCGCATCTTTCGCGAAGCGGCGCACACCTTCAGTCAGTTTATCTGTGGCCATCTCGTCTTCGTTCAGCAGCCAACGGAAAGTGGCTTCATCCATCGGCGGAGGACGTGCATCACTCTTGTCACCTAAAGCAGCGATTGCTATCGTGAAGTAGCGGGGAGTAAGAGGAACACTGGATAAAATTTTAGAAACGCATAGTCCATGGGTAAACATTAAGAACGAGAGGAATGACACACATCGCTAACTCACGCATTCACACAGGATTTATTTAAGCGTTGACTTTGATTAAATAATGAAACGCATCGGGTTACTCGGGTGGAGGGGTCATTAATAACTTAATGACTGCAACTTTCTGTCTATAAGCAGGATCCGGAACTCGTCACATTTTCAAAGCGAGGAACAGAAAACGAAAGCAGCTGTGAGTAAGAACAGTAATAAAAAAACTTGAAAAAAATTGCCGAGACCACGGAGACAGTAAAAGCGACAGTTATTCCAATCTAGGAAATTTTAGCACCTATGATTTTGGTGAACAAGCCCAGCGTTTCAGGGTCAGTGGTTCAGAAGCGTAAATAACCGAGCAGCAACGTAAAAGCGAACATGTCAGGTCCAGTGAAAATCAAGTGGGAGGCTATGTAACTTATCTTTCACCAGTAGAGCAACACGATGTGGCCGGGAAAATGGTGGCAAAATGTCGTCAGATTACAGGCAAGTTTGTGGGGTAAACCTGGCAAACAACCACTCAGTTCGGTACTGGTCGCGTGGCAAACACGATCACAGATAGCACGTACACATAATGCGAATATCAACCACTTCGTAAGCATGTGAAATTAGGGCATCTAATTGATATGATCCACGAAAGTATCAACAGTGAAATGTGCATACAACCGGAAGTGGGAAACATGATTCCGTCATGAGCGAACGAACAATCAATCGATTAAACTGGGAGAGGTTGCAATCAAACAGGCATAATCGTGACTCAGATATACACCAAACTAGCTGCAGATGCACTTTCGTTCTTCGACGCGTCTCAAGCATAAATGTATCGTCAAAACCATCATGTCCCACAGGTCGCTTCATAAATGAAGTACACCTTGTTTTCTGGCAAGGTTAACACTAAAAAGAGATGGTTTCACTTCGTGATCAATTCAAATCGTGTTTGAATAAACTGCAACGCCAGTGAAGTTACAAAGCTCACGAGAACTAAAGAGATGCAGTGTTTTGCACCTCACAAAGCCTCAGAGATGAGTGTTTCGGGTTGCGGCTGGTCACCTCCTCTTTGCGCTTCACGAAATGCTCCTATACAACCAAGCGTCTCGAACAACCTCTGCTGAGAAAGCCCTACTCACTGCCTTCTCGTGGCGGTGTTCTAGCACAAAACGGAGGCGACGAAAAGCCAATATCCGAATCCATGAACAACTGGCAGTTCATCTAAGGGAGTTGGCTAAAAACCCTGATTCCAAACCAACCAAGGACGAGCGTAGGAACCACACTCACCCACACCTTCCTGGTCGTGGTCATCAGCTCGACTAGGCGTCGAGGTGTATTGGGTACCTTGGACGTTTGACCCCGTCCAAAGGGCGTATGATCCGATTAGCTGGACACCGGTCCCCAATGGAACGCGGTTTTCGCATACCGCTCCTCTATCTTGTGAGACAGGCTTTGGTTATCCGAACGCTTCAATTGTGCATTGTCTAAGAAAATTTACTACCATTGGTCTGGGTAACCCGGCAGTATTATGCCCACCAGCAAATCATGGACTTGTTTTCTTTTTATAAAGATTATTGTACCGTGATTTCTTTGGCACATAGTTCGAACTCAGACGTGTGTAGAAAATAAATAAATAACTGTGTTGCATACTCTGAAACCTTGTGTGATGTTTAGCTTGACTGTGTTGTCTAATCTAGCCTATTCAATGGTTACGGAATCTGCGATGCGGCTGACTGTCACCTTCTGCACATATTTAGTAGACGGATCTAGCTACTACTGTGAACTTTCCAATGCTTTTTGTACTTCATTGCTTAATGAATGGGATGAATGATCTCGCGGCGCTTGGAAGATGCAACGGGATATTCTTATAGTTATGGATAATCTAACGGGATTGTAAGTAAAGGGACAAAATTAGATGAACTCACCTTTTTTCTCATCCAAATACGGTTCCGGTCGCTCGGTGAGTTGGGCTAATTCTTCCAATAAGGATGGGGCAATGGTGAGTAGATCACAACCGGTTAGGCCCAGAATCTCTTCCCGATTTCGAAAAGAGGCACCCATGATCTATTTGCAAACAGTTTCCAATGAGAAATGGTGATTGCTTGAAATGGCCATGAAACAACGGCATAAAGTATTGTCTTGGTAACACGCCGACTCGCTCATACGTTCATATCATACCATTAAAAATAGGCAACAGATTCAAAATAAACCTTTGGCATGGAAGGTGTGTGTATTATCACTCTGCCAACCAGTTCACAACAGGGCTGAACTGAAGTATCAACTCATGTTTGTTAAGGTTTCGTCCTCAGCAATAGTCAGTCGTTTCATTTTCGGCCCGACCGCTGACTAACGGCTAACTCGGATAAGAGCAAAACTCGGGTCTAATGCTGTCGAATGTACGTTTGACAACAGGATGAACTGGGGATTGAGCGTGAAAATCAAGTGTGAAGGCTGGTCTGAGCAAATCAAAACCAATTATCCCACACAACTACTCACAAACTGTGATTTAAGCGGAAATCCGTTTATTTGAAAGGAGAAAAATAATGATATAGATGTTCAAAAAGGAAGGGCCAATAAGGAAAAACAACCCCGCTGAATTATGGCCAAAATACAAACAGGCGCGCATTGGATGTGAATACTTGTTAAAGTCAAACAAATCCTGTAACATCACCACTACTCAGTATACAATCGCACGTGAAAATATAAATGATAACGGTCGAGTTCACGTTGGTTAATATATCGATATCGGCTTCCTGAAGAAAACTTGATGTGTGGATTAGAGCATACCTAGGACTGAAAACAAAGCAAGATCGACTGAAAAATTGCTGAATGAAGTAACAAAGCGGTTTCGTTGAGACAGGTCTTTTTCGAGGGTGTATATGAAACTTCTTT